CAAACGAGAAAGAAAAAGATACATGGCCAACCTGAAAAAAGCATCATCGAATCCTAGTGTGTTAATAGTCACAATTTTTTCCTCATCTTTAGAAGAAATATTTTCCAGAAAAGAAATGTGTATTTGCTAGAGCTTTTGCCACTGTTTAATCAGAAGTCCAGCCCCATGGCACTTCTCAATTTTATATTATTTTCTTCATGTCCATATGTAAAAAATGCATAACTCCAGTCCTCATACTTCTGCTGCAAAATGAGGGATTGGCATATGTTCTCAGTTTAGGTCAAAACGTAGGCCATCTTGGGCACTTGTTCTTTCTCCTGTTTTTGTGCAACATAAGCCTACTGTTATTTAAGGAAGACTTCAGTATGATTTCCTGGATGAATTGCCAGCAGGCACAAGCTTAGCATTACTGCCTATTTGTCTGCATTAGGCAGTTCATTAGGAAGGACTACACCTCCTTGATGATGGTCCAAATTTTCTCCTTTCTTAGTAGGGCTGATGGTACACACAGAGTAAATTCTAACCTCACTGAGACCATGGAGGTCTCAGAGTAAGTAAATCAGGGTACAATTTGACTTAATGAGACTAGCCACCAAGTCATCAATTCAGCAGCGTGGGCTGCTTTTTCTGTTGCCTGCACACCAGTCAAAACCCACAAGGAGCTATCACGTTTCCTCAGAGATCACTGACGTTAGATAAAGATTGCCGTCCATGACTCTTAAGTGCCTCAGCAAGGATGTGCATTATTTGTTAAGTACCTGGAACTTGCTGAGTTACCCTGTAGAAGATCTGAGATACGATATGAGGACAGTCCTTTTCCCAGAATTTACAACTCACTGAACCACTGTAGGAAAATGACCTACAGTAGGAGCCCTGGAGAAAAGAGTGTGTTTTGAAGATTTAGTTTTTCCAGTATTCTTTATGTTAATATTTAGCTTTTTGCACCCTTAGGGCAGCTGCTTCCGACTAGGGAGCATGGCTGTTTTCTTGATAACTTATCTCGTGCTTTTTTCTACGATCATCAGTAGCAATCCATCCTTAGTTATTTGATACCAGAAATGAAATCCTCTGACTGGTTTTTTTCACATACTTAACAAGTGAAGACAATGGTTTTGTCACAGGTGTTTGTGTATGTGTATATACATACATATAGACACACGCACATCTTTTTCTGTCGTATCATAGTAGCTGGGGTGAACTGCACTTAAAATAAAATATAGCAAGCTATCTGGAACAGCACCAAGGGGCAACAGCAGAGTATCTGGCTGCCTAACAAAAACACTATGTGGGGATTTTTCTGCGTTACTATAGGACTGAATAAGACTGTGTCTAGTTAGCAGTTCATAAAAGGCTGACTACCATTAAACAAAATGTACAGTGCCAAAGAGGAGAATAACTTGTATCACAGGCAAGCTATCCAAAATTCTCCTTTTCTCTAAAAGGGACATTAAAACAGGTTTCCCTGTTTTAATGCTATGCTCAAATAACTGATAAAAATGCCTCACCAGTAAAACAGCGAATTATCTCCATACTTCTTAATCTAGTACTGAAACATGAGCTCCCTGTTAACATACTTAACACACAATTGCCTGCTGCTTTTGACTGTCTTCAGCCAACAGAAGAGCGCAAATATAAAATCACAGAAATTGGAGATGAAAGGTCCTAGTCAGTCAATTTGTTAAACCGCTTGCCGTGTTATCTTTGCTCCCTATAATATACTGTTAAATGTACCTATAATCATCACTTGCATTTTTGATGTCATTTGCATTCTGAACAACTTTGGCTTCACGCACAAATGAATGGATTACACTCATCCATCCGTAGGTTATTCATCTGCTCAAGAACATTTATTTGTAAGACAAGGGTATTGCCAAAATGAAACAATCAATTAAAGTGCTTCTTGCTTTTGAGAAACCCCTTGATTTCCACTTACAGGGGCAAATTTCTATATAAAATGAGTAACATTTTCTTTAACTTAACACATCCGAGTATGATTTATGAAACGTTACTCAAGTAAGACAAGCTTATTTTGCCCTTTATTTACTCAGAACAGAACACTGATGGGAGAAATAAATGAGACAGACAAGATGATCCATAGTCAGAGACAGGGGGTGCTTTATTGCACAGCCAGGAACAGAATCTGGGCCTCTTGCATCACAGACCATTGACCTCGAAAGAAAAGAGATGGAATGCGTTTTGGACTGAACAACTGGAACAAACCACACACAAAAAAAATCAATATGTATTGAGAGCTAATGATCGAATGCTGACCTCATCTGACAGACACATGGATCAAGATGCTCTGAATATGCAAGGCTGCAAAAATACAGCACTGGGGGGATATATGAATGCTGCTGCCCTTACAATGCTCAGAGGTAAATTCATTAGTTCAGAGTCCTCCTCTTCTCTGTTTGGTATGCTCTTCTACAAAAAGATCAGAACTGCTTTCTCAGTAATTGACAGAGGCACAACAATCAATTTCTACCTTGAAAATATTTTATGTTGGTTTGGGAGCATCTGTTCTGTATTTGAAGTATGCTACTCCATTGAGAATGTTTTAAAAATAAGTAATAGCCCACGGTTGAGTCTCATCTTCCAGTGTGCTTCTTTTGCTGCTGCAAAGGTAGTTATCCAGCCAGCAGGTTAACTAATTTAAGCTGTACTTCCCAGAACTGTGCTGACGACACTAACATTATCAATGATGTTTATGACAAAAAACAAAGCCAATGAAGGAAAATCCATTTGCTTTGTGTCCTCTGAAAAAGAGAGGAGTAAAAAAATCAATTATTTGCCAAGCACAAAAAAAGGAAAAGAGATGATAGGAACAGGAATATTTTCCTTTTTTAAAAGAACAGGGGGGAAGAAGTTAATACTATCATTTTAATCTAAGAGATTTATTTTGATAGCAGTAGGGTGTTATACAGCCTTGAGTACATTTTTTCACTAATTCTACAGCAGCTTCACTGAGCTCTCCCTGTCTTAAGTGAGTGAAACCATGGCTCCAATGAAGTCAACGGGGCTTTCTCCAGTGACTGCAATGGAACTCGGGTTTCACTTGTACTCTCAACACCCGTTGAAGAGCCTGCGTGAAAAGCAAAAGAGGATATAGGTGATTTTAAGTTCCTAAAGTGAAAGTGATAATCATAAAAATTGAGGGCTTTTTGAGAGGTGCAAAAAAACCTTCGTTTCAGTCTGCTCTGCACAGAAAAGCCTGAACCCCCCAGTAAAGGCATGAAATGGCATGCAGAAAGGCTCACCATTGAAATATCTCTTCCGCATCTGCTTTCTCACCTCTCTGCAGACACCTCATGAACAAAAACTTTCACTCGTATGGGGTTGAGAGACCTTGCGTTCCTCCTAGGCCCAGAGCGTCTCCTGCCTATCTGCAGGGAGAGCCCCAGGCAGCAGAAACCACGAACACATGCCTTCTTTGGGAGCGTGCCCCAAGTGAAAGGGTCATATGAAATGCAGAAGGTTCACCTTCACAGCACCCGACCAAGTGACACATGACAACTTTTTGATAGGAAGGTTATGTTAAAGCCAACCCTTCAGGAAAATCCTGCACCAAGGCACTTGGAAGTGGTGAGCTGTGCAGAATGGAGGAGAGGACGTTCTAGGCAGCAGAGGCCAATGTCTTCTATTAGCCTCGGCTCCAAACCACTGTCCCTTGGCTCTGGCGGCAACCACTTTTGAGGACTGGTAAATTTAAATAAGGGAAATCCCTGAAACTGGACATGGAGAGGGTAGCTGCGTTGCCATTTCTGAGTCAGCCCCAATTCACCCTCCTGATGACCGTTCTCCGGTGCTGGAGCGGGAAAGCCAAGCTCGTCACGCACCAGTTCCTAAGCTCAGCTCCACGGCAGGGTTTGACGTGGCAGGAAGCGCTGGATTTGCGGCGAAGGCCAGCGCCGGCTCCAGGCCGCGCAGCCAGAAAAGCCACGCGCAGGAGATGGCAAGATGTCCTCTTCATCCTGGGCCGAAGGGCTCTGCCATCCGCCTCCACCTCGAGGTGACGCGAACATCCCGCACTAGTCAATTTTTTTTTCCCCCCTTCCTTTTCCCCTCTGCTTTCCTCCGTTTCACCCACGGAGCACGTCCGTCCTCTCCCTGCGAGTAAAACCGGGCAGAAGAG